ATGGCCCTCGTTTATAATTCATGGTTTATTCAAAGATCCATGAAGTTAATAAAGCATTTCTAAAAATGCAAAAAGTCAAAAGGGTAAGACAAAAACTCACAAATTAAAAAGCAAGACCTTGGACTTATAAAAAATAAGGCAAATTATTAAAAGAGTATACCAGAAACTCGAAAGGATTAAGTAAAAACGAAAACATTATAATATTAAAACTAAGTATGAACTTAGTCATAAACTGATTGTCTTTTGAAAAGCCCCGAAAAGACCCGGGGACTTGCTATCACCAAAAACATAACCCTCAAAATGGGACCAAGGATAATACCACATATTCCCCTAAAAAAGAAAAAAAGAGTCAAACTTCACAAATAAACTTTCACTGTAGAGCAGGAGAAGAATTCAAAACAACATTATTAGTAATAGAAGGCTCGATTTGGTCTGAAGGAGCTAGGACATCCACCGTACTAGGATCAGCTTCAACGTACTCGAGAGTATCAACCATGGGAGAAGAGAAACTTTGGCTTTGCTGAGTTTTTTCAATGGTCTCTTTAATCTTTGCTAACCCAACATCCAAGTTAAAGCCTTCTTGGCTAACCTCCATAAGGGTATCATGGCGTGTGTTCAATATAGCCCAACTTACTTCGACATCAGCTTTGTCCTCAAGAGCCTCGTAGTCTCTTTTCCAATGGTCAATTTCACTCTTGAGCTCCTCCCTCTCAGCTAAAACAACATCGTAAGAAGACTCTAAAGGGGCAAGTGAACTCTCCAAAAACTTAACCTTGTCAAAAGAAACTCGGAGATCTTCTTGGGCCTGCGTGAGTGTTTGAACAAGCTCACCAGCATAAACTTCTTTCTCATTTAGCAAAGCTTTAAGGCCTATGATCTCTTCAGTAGCTTTGGAGAGTTGTTCAACAAAAGAAGACTCAAGGAGATTCTTATCCTTGCCCGCCTGGTTGGAAGAAGCTTTTTCAACTGCCAATTCCGATGCCATGACTCTCAACTACTACTCTAATGTACATTTTCTTTCATCTAAAACTTCCATCTCAAGCTGAAGACTTTCATATTGCTCTTTCCAATTGTCTGCCTCAATTTGGTAATCATGCATCAATTGCTCTGTATGGGAAACCTTTTTCATCATCTCCGTACCGATGAGATTGATCTAAAAAAAGGGTAAGAATCTTATTAAAAGGAGAATGGAATAAAACATGAAAAAACATCAATTCCTTTAGTCAGTGATGATTGCACTATGTCATTCATCCAAGTCAAAGAACTATGACTTTCTAGCTTGGACTTTTCAATGGGACCAATCAGGGGTTTCAACCATATGTCAGGTTGGACAGACTTCTTCAGAAGATTACCATCGGCAGGAACCTCAATGGTAATTTGCTTCATCATTCTACTTCCACTTGAAGAACCAACTTCAGTTCGAGAAATGTTAGTAGTGGGGACTGTAGAGGAAGTCATAATAGCTTGAGGTAAAGCAGAAACAGCAGCAGTAGAAATAGGCAAAGAGCATTCCATTGGGACAAACATGGGGAAAAAGGCAAGTGGTACTTCATAAGACACCAAATCAAAACCTTCACTATCAAACCCACGTGAAAAAAACTGTTCATCAGATTAACAAGCTGCTATAAAGTATCTTCGTCAGAACTCACTAAGGTGGCTTCAACAGTCTCGGTCACAGGAATAAAATGGGGAGGAGTAGCTTCGTCATCCTAAATGACGCGTCTTTTGGCCCGCAACCTTCTAACCAAAGAACTTCCATCTCGTTCCTCTTCTTCCTCAGAATCCTGGGTTTTGTCAGCTTTCCTTTTCGATGAAGAACCCAAGATTATCTCTTGAGCTCTTGCCAAAGAAAGTCTAGAAGCTGCAATCGATTCAGCACTTACACCGCGAATAGGAAACCCTAATAAAAAGAAGGGTTAAAAATATTCTAATGGAAGAATAGATGAAAATAGAAGCAAGAATTCTTACCGTGGGTCTTAACCTTCCAACCAAACCTGTTTGAAAGGTATTTCCAAGATCTAACTTCCATCAGAGCAATGGTCAACAATTTCTCTACCCAACTACGGAAATTGAGAATCTCTTCAACAGTTCCCATGGTTGCTAAAAAAAGAGAAGCGAAACAGTCACAAAAAGAGCAAACCCTTTCTAAAAAAGGAAAAAGAAAAGAAAGAAAGTTGTAAAGAAAACTTATATACAAAATTCCACTTTTCAGGGAAGGGTACATTTTCTTCACCTACTAACCCTACCGTAGGAGCAGCGACAAATCTAGAGTACCAGCCACGGTCCTTGTCATCCGCAGGGCTGACTAAAACCCTCTTACTCCTCGCCACCAAAGTGAAGATCCCCTTAGGAGAGTAGAGGTGAATCAGATGAAAAAAGGTGAAAGGCAATTGAGCCAAATTAGCTAAGTACCTTAGACATGAAACAACCCTCCACTCAATAGGGTCAATTTGTCCTAAACACATATTGAAAAAACAACAGAGTTCAATGATAACCGGGTCAATAGGGGGTCTAAAGCTCATAATAAAAGGGTATGTATATACAAAGGAGAAGCCAGTTTTGTAAGAAGTAATCTTTTGATTTGCATTAGGAATCAGAATTGCGAAATCGAAACTCCAATGACAGTCTCTACGAACAACAAAAATCAAGTCTTCAGTAGTCTATGAAGGGAAAACATCGGCACGATCATGAGAGGACATAGAGAAAACCTCGTTCCTACTTGATTCTTTATCGGTATAGAAGGAAAGTTCAGAAGGGATAATCTCGTCTACTGTGGGTTCACGGACTGGCTCATTGGAATCTCTACTTCTAGCAAAATACTTATGAGTAATGAAAGCCCTTGTTCTAGAAGTTGAAGGAGGAGTGGAAATAGGTAGAGAAGAAGAAGAACCTCTAATGGCAACCTACCCAAGACTGCGTAATCGTCCCCCTCTTCTGCTTCTAACAAGAGCAAGGGGAAGTTCAACAACAATAGGAACTTTTCGGGGATTAAGGTTCGCAGAAAACATTGCTGTACGAGGAAGAAGACAAGAATGAATATTCAAATATGGAAAACTTTTATGAGAAAGAAAAGACAAAGGTTATATTTATACTCAAAAGCAACCGTCAAACAAAAAAAGGTAATGATGAGAACGTCATAATGAATACTGTCACTTCGTGATTGATGTAAGCCAGAAAAAAGCCTCAAAAGGCGCTGAAGAGTTGCAGAACCAATCAAAAGTCACCACGTGTCACGTGCATTAAATGGAAGTGACATGCGAAGCGTCAGTTTTGTAGAAGTTATAATTATACGAAAAATGGCAGCAAAAAATCCTGTTTTAATGAGATTCACTTTCCAAATATTCAATTGATGAATAAATGGCAAGTAGGGGGACTATATGTATTGGAAAAAAATCAAGTTAACATTTGGAATTAATTATGTGCTGATACGTCAAGACACGTGGATCAATAAAAGAATGATAGTTGGCAAAGAATAGTTGAAGAGATACGAGCCTTAACAGGCACGGACAAAGATTCAAGAAAACAGGAAGGAACGATTACTCGGACCTCTTGGTAATTCGAAGAGACATTGGAGGAATGAACCTAGATAGCAAAAAGTACATATACGTATTATCCATAATTAATGAGCATCAATGATGGAAAACGTTATAGAATCTTCACGAAACAGTTATGATTGTCAATTATAATGTTATATTAATGCCATTAATTGCTCATAATGGCTCTGTTATGAGAGGAAATGAACGTATTACTTAAAAATAGCTATAAAAGGAGAGAAATAACATTTGTAATGACACAAAATATTATTGGAATACACTGATTTACTTTGCTTTCTTTTACTTATTCAACTATCGTTTATGTCAATTCTTCTTTCCATATTAGATTACCAGTAACCCGAATTTTTCTAAAATTAAGCTTTGACCGAAATTCCTATTTTCTGGTTAAACATTGATCCCTTTTAAATAAGTTTTGTAAAAACTAAATTGCAGACTAGAACTTAGAGCTTGCGAGTCAAAGTCTGATCACAAGTTCTAACAGATCGTCACAACTTCTTATGGATGCCCAGAAGCCTTGAGATAATCCAGAGGGGTTAATTAGACGAAAGTGGAAAATACCTTGGGAGTTAGTACCTCTTCTAGTATAATGATGGGTCAAACTTCAATAAAAGAGTTGAGTCCCTAAGGGAGATGACAGTAAAAGCGCATAAACCATTGGCGGTCAAATCACTTTGAATTTTTCCTTAGGTGAATCCCATGTGAAAAGGAAAAATTCGAAATCATGTAAGGGTGAGTTCAAAATTTCATTGTTGAGGTGCATGTTATTAGGTTAAAGCTTTAACAACCCATTTGCAGTTGAGCATTATGGGTTGTGACAAAACTAAAGAATGTGTTTTCATTTTTGCAGAACATACTAGGTAATTAATCTGAATTATTAATGTGTTTAAAATTAAAGTACGAATATCATACTTCGTTAGTTCCGCAGCATTCCACGTAGCATGCAGTGATGTGCTCTATAAGCTAGATGAGTACCATAATTCACCATAGCAGAAAGCTTTCTATGTACCTGGAGATTTACTGGCACATAAGTACGTACTTACCTCATTTATGATTAAAAGTTGATGTAAGCTTTCATGTGAAATGTAAAGAAGAGTGTTTGAATAGTCAAAAAAGTGCTTGCACTTGACGTGAGCTAGTGCTTAGGCTCTTTCGTAGTTATTTATTTAAAATGAAAAATAAAAATCAGTGGGAAACTTGATAAAGAATATAGAAAAGGTGCAATATTTACACTTTCTCAAAAGGGAGTAATTGTTTGATTTTTGGGGCAGCATAGAATGAACAAGTCCTACTATTCAATAGCTATTATACTCGTCTGCTCATAATCTTGTATCCTTATCCTAAGATAAATAGTTCGACGCAAGAATTATTGATATATGGAGTATCTCATGGGGGGGGNATATACACTCGAACGCCTTTAAAAGGTGAAATAATTCACCCCAAAAGAACCAAAGGCCATTTTGTAACATTTCTGTCGGATGCTCTGTTACCTTTTGGTCTCTTTCATAACTCAAAAACTGTCATAAACAGACACTCTAGATCGAGTTCATCGTTTAACAATGGCGCTAGAAGCTGTAACACAGCAACAACAATATCTTTACGCCTTGCTAGAAACTGCAAACTGGGACGGTGGCTCTGGCTCTGGTCCTGGTTTTGATTATCACAATAATGAGCCGTTTGAATTTCTTGATAATAATGATCAGAATGTAGGAGCAGCACAAGAGTATGAGGACTACTCGAGTTGGAACTTACCACCTCCATTATTGGTGGATTATTCTCAGAATGATTTTAATCAATGGGGTCAGAATTCTTCCACTTATGTTTTAGACCATAATTTTGCAATCGCAGATCAACTGCCGCAATTGGAGTCTCCAGTTGAAATGTCTAGTACAACTAGACAAAGAAGAAGAAGAACAAGAAGCAAGAAGAATCAAGAAGAGATTGAGAGTCAAAGAATGACTCACATTGCCGTTGAAAGAAATCGTCGAAAACAGATGAATGAGTACCTCTCTGTCCTCCGAACTCTTATGCCTGATTCTTATGTCCAAAGGGTCAGATTCTTCTTCTTAATATTTTGTGTTGAATTATATGGTTACCTCATCTAAAACCGATATGATTTTTTTTATAATGGTTGGTTGTGAAATTTAAACACACCATCTCTATCTACTTTGATACATTATTAAATTATGTGCCCCTTATCAAAAAGATTAATTAAGCTGCCCAGTAGTAGCGAAGACACGAATTTCCCCAAGGTATTTAAACTTGAAATAAGTAAAAAAATATTCCCCAACAAAGGATGTTATATATATGTGATACACATCTAAAACTATATATATATAGTGCAATTTTTCGACGAAGGTGGTCAAATATATATTCTTCCTTACTGTCAAGAGATTATACATTTATTTACTTAATTGTGTCTTTAGCATTTTGATACTAAATTATTGATTTTCTTGTTACATAATTAAGGGTGATCAAGCATCAATTGTTAGTGGTGCAATCAACTATGTAAAAGAGCTAGAGCAACAACTGCAATTCCTTTGTGGTCAGAAGCATTTGAATGAGAAAAAATTACAAGATATCAATGGGGAAACTTCTCCGTTTTCTGAGTTCTTCAGCATTCCACAATATTCCACAACCATGACTGCTGCTACTAGTGAAAATAGAGCTTCTGGGAATGAATATTATACTAGGAACCAGCAGCTACCAGCAACAGCTGATATAGAAGTGACAATGGTGGAAAATCATGCAAATCTGAAAATTAGGTCACAAAGGAGACCAAGATTGCTTCCTAGAATAATTTCTGGGCTTGAAAGTCTTAGGCTAAGTGTTCTTCATCTCAATGTTTCAAAAGTTGATCAGTTTGTCCTCTGTTCTCTCAGTTTGAAGGTGAGACTATATATAGAGAAGATTAATTAATTACATATGAGTTAATTAGAAACTTAACGCTAAAAGGAATACTGGAATTTCATGTACTAATAATTATATATGGTGTTGAATTTGCAGGTAGAAGAAGACTGCAAGTTGAGTTCTGTGGAAGACATTGCAGCTGTTGTGAATCAGATTTTAGGTAGGATCCATGAAGAGGCTAATTAGCTTAATGTGAGACTATAAGAATCTTGATTCTCCTATTATATTGCTAATATCTATGCAGAATTAGGAAATATTTGACAATAATCAAAATTTAATTTTGTGGTCACAAATTCTCATTGCATTGTGTATACTGTCGTTTTTTTTTTAAAAATTAAATTCGCTTACCATGTTACTAAACTTGTGATCACTTTATTTAAAAGTTTGAAAAAATACTAAAGACGACCCAATTTTATTTACTTAATTATTATTTCAAGACACGTAATTAGTGGTCGATTGTCTTCATGCGCGTATGCATGGCTTCTAGCCCATTCAATTAACATGTCCAAGATTCATTTAAGTAGAATAATACCACTAGTTAACTAGTTACATTCTTTGGAGGAAAGACAACAAAACTTGGTTTTAACAATGTCTTTTGCCGACTGTTTGACACCATTGCTCTTGACTACCTCCAAGCAGGAGCCGTAATCAATCACTTATTATTCAATCAATTATCGTATAAATCATTTGTATCTATCTAAATGAAATAAGTTTAATTACAAGCAAAAGTGATCATAGAAACTAAAGAAACATTAATTGTTTGATGCTATCAGTCTATATATAACTCTACTAACAGTAGCAGTTTGTTTTGTATTTTAAGGGGTTAGATTTATCGTTCACCTAAAAGTTACAGGCCTTTTAGAATTTCTTCTCTCTTCCAGACCCTTCTCTTTATTTTCTTCCAATATTCAAGCGCTGATTTTTTTTTTTTTTTTTGGTCTAAAACATTGTTAATCAATATTCTGAAGCAGTAGAGGAACCGGGATTTTAACAAGAGGATTTAAAACTTTTGAACTTGGACCTAATATAATTTTTGAAAAAGTTAATATATATAAAAAATTACCTTTTTGCTATTTGCACCGTATAATTTTTCAAGGAAAGAAATTCAATTGAACTTCTTCCTTAGGTCTCCAGCGCTGCTCCTAAGTGCTAAGAACACATGTATACAGCTTTCACATATATTTAAATCAGAAACCTTGTGCTTTCTACGCAAGTAATTACTAGTACCTGAACAGAACCTTTCCTTTTCCCTGTTTTTATCCAATATGTGATGATGCTATTATTGACAAACACATTTGCAAAATAGTAAGGGGCCAAACGTGATCCAAAATTAATTGAACCAACCACATTGAACTAAAGTTTAGAATACATCCTCTCTTCTAAAATATTTCAATTGTTCCTATCATGGAACGCATATCTACAAGAGAAGAAAAAGAAGACCAATTCCTTTTTTTTGTGTGTGTGTGTGTGTTTACGCCAAATCATTAAAGAATAGTACATGTATCTTTTACATGCACTTTATCATCATTTGACCGTAATTAATTAATGTATCTCTTTACCTCAGTATATTAGTATTTAGTTTAGTAGTTTTTCTTTCTCTTTTGGGAAGAGAAAGAACACAAGGCTGCAGCAAAGCACGAGCAGATCTAGAAAGGGGCAGCTTTTTTTTCTGCTATGCAAGCATCATATCTTTAGTTTATTGCAACAAAACAGAACTAACTGATACATTCTTATCTTGATCCACATGACCCACATAAGCTAAAAGCAGCAAATAATGAAACCCTTTTACCAATCTCGTACCTAAAAATGAAAAATGATTCCTTTTTGTTTTGAAAGAACAAACGATTCAAAGTAAAAATCGATTGCAGGGTACTGAAGACAATCATGCAATTCCCTTCTCCATGAACATGTACGTACGACGTTGGTTTGGCCCGAACCCCCAAAAGTTAAAAAGGTGATATGTTTTCGTTTGGTGGGGTTACGTTAGAAAATAATAATTATATATATTCCGTTGCCTTTATGTGAACAGGGCAAAGGAACATTAAAAGGTGGTGAATTTTGTGATAGAAATATGTTGAAGAGACAATTAACAGTACTAACAACATTCCTTTACACAATAGATAGTTAAAGAAAAAGATGTTTTACAAACATCCGATTAAACTACTCGTGAAGCCTAAACACATTGATGAATATTCTAGTTAGGTTCTTAGATACAGAAAATTGGGGAGAAAAAATCAGGGTAAATAATTGTTGTTTATCCATGTGCTTAATTAAATGCCTTTTTCACCCGAAACTAATTAAGTATGCTTAAGAAAACAATCATAATCTCACAATACCATATAGCCGTAAAACAAAGAATTAGCGTGATCTAAATAATTTTATAAAGTGCATTTGGTGGACAACCACATAAATAATCGAGACAAAAGAAGTCACTGTAATTGAAAGAATTGGAAATGGCCTAAAGAGGATGTTTTCTCCATGTAGAGCTTGACGCAGGGACCTATATGTTTGTCTTAGATTAATATATTTGCACCATTATAACAACCATAAAATAATATTACTTTTCTTGTTTTTGATGAGATATGTTGCATATTATGTGAATGGAAATTATTCAAATTCAAGGGTCTTTTGGAATACTTTTGTTTGAGCTTTTCTAGTGTTCTTTTCTCTGTAGAGCTCACATGCAAACTTTATGGACAGCTCCAAGAAAAAATATGTATACGTGGAAACAATAGGGTACTCATCCATACGTAAAGGAAGTCCTAGGGTTTTTATAAATAGAAGATTCCGACCTCTCTTTCTGTTTTTATCTTCTTGTTCTCTTGTGAGATCAGGTACGTATTAGAAAGATTCCGTTTCTGTTTTTCCAAATTGAGCTGTCTATGTCCAGCGTCATAGGCAGCATATATATTACGGCCCAACCAAATACTTATTATATTATTCTCACAAAATATTATTATGACTAGCTGAGCCAAAGCTACATTTCGACTAATTGATTTATGAATTTAGAATTTAAGTTCTATGTTCAAACTCATTTTATTTTTAAGTTTATGAATTCATATTTATTATTTTATATAATTTTAATGAATTTTTGCACTTAACTTTAGAAACTAAATGGGTTCTCTGAGTAGAGAGGAACGGACAGAAAAAGACTAATTGAATTAGTTTGAAATCAATTAGGAATTAGAATTGTAGAATTAATAGAGGATATATAAAAGAAAAGGTGGTAACTCCTGTCATATTAGAACTGAGGAGTGAATATCATTCTTGGCAATACAAGAAATGTTTGACTATATATTTCGTACAAATAATATGTGGGCAAAATTGAAGGTAGTAAATGGTTAACGACCATTATTGGATTGATTTGTTTTTGGGGAGAAAAAAAGAAAAGAAAATGAAACAGCCATATTTAAGGGCTCCATATAGTCGCTCTTTCAAGTTTCACCGGCAAATTACTACTTCAGAACCTATCGATTTTCCCTTTGTCATAGATGTTAGTAATCTGTATTTGTAAAATAATTTTGGAGAAAATAAAATAACATAAATATAAATGTAAATGAAATTAAAAAAAAAAAAGCTAATTCAAGCCCATTGAATTCACAGTGTTTTCTTAAGGAATTTAATCCCCTCCTAGTACCCAAGGTTATGGATTATTTCCTCCCAGGATAGAACGAATTACACATTGGTGCAGTGGTACTTCAAACCCCAGTGTTTCAGCGAACACAAAGTTCGGTAACAAATCACACTTACTGTTGTTTTGTTTGATGTTAAAAGTATGCAGAAGAAGGAGGAGAACCTCAGAAAATCGTATGGAAAATCTGAGATAATGGACTTGTATTTATAGCCAAAGTTGGGCTGAAATCTGAAGAGGTGCAACTCTTCAGAATGACTGTTTTTGCAAAAAGGCCAAAGAATAAATGTCATAACATAAATGACTATTTACTCAACAATAAAGAGGGAAAATTGAAGGGTAATTAATTTTCAGTTACACAACTGAAAACAGATCGGATTTAATATTAATATTTATTTTAATATTAATATTATGTTATTAAAATAAATATTTAATAACATATTTATTCTTTGTGTGCATTTATTTTAATATTATTTATTCTTTGTGTGCCCATTCTCAATGAAAATATGGGCTGCTATGCTAAGATGGATGAAAATGAATAGGCCAGTTATGAACCGGAAGCACAAACTAAAATGCGCTGAGCAATATTGATGTGGAAAAAATGCAAACGCTGAGATATATAGAATGGTATTGATTGGAAGCATATACTACATTTGGCAAGAAAGGAACTCAAGAATTTTCAAAGAAGTTGAAAGCAATGCTGAAGCAATTACAAGGAGCTTAGTACAAGACATCCATGGCAGAGGAAGTGCTAAGAAATGTCTCGAGAAAAGGTTGAAAGAGTTGAATTCATATCCTATTATTTAGACTAATGTATAGATAAGGATATAAAAGCATACAAAGTAGTAGCTTAGTCTAGGATGTATGTCCAGAACAAGCTACATAAAAGTTGTGTAAATTTGCTACTTGGTAATAAAAGTTTTAGTTACCAAAAAAAAAATATTTAATAACATTTTTGTGAATATTTTACTATTAACAAATAAATTTGATCCAAAAAATTAATCAATCAATTGACCAAATCCGAAGCCGAAGTCGAGCGACGACGGCACGAGGCTTGCCTTCTTCTCAAACTCTTTAAAAGCGAGAAGAAGAGCAATTGATTATATACCCATAAAAAACCTCTTCCTCTTCCAATATGGGACAATGTTCCTTCGTCAAGGGAGAAACTTAAAATTTCACTTGAAATTTTTTATTTTTCTCGATTTCTCATTCACCATCTTTTAAGCCTCATTAATGCTTAAAAACCCCTAACAATAGACAACAGTCCAATATCCCCCTTCCCTTTCCAATTGAAGAGGGGTCCAGAGTAGTACTATTATGTATATAAAAGTACGAAACAGAAAGAAAAGAAAAACGATGAATTGAATGAATTGTTTGGAAAAGAAAACAAATACTATCTCTTTAGATATGTAATGTGTGTATATGATGGGGTGAGTGTTCCTGATTATGGGTGTCAATGTGGCAAATTCAGAACGCTGTGAATTTGGAGTTGAAGAATTACTTTTGAAATGTATATATGCTTAAAGTATACTCCTATTTGTTATTCACGCATATCTATAGAATTCGACCAGAACTCTACTATACGTTTATCGAACTATTATTTGGATCCACCGCTGGATTCCGTGACAAATAATACTGCCAAGGAAAAAGAGATCGGCTAGTCCCTCTGCCATCATACAATTAAGCGAAAATTAATTAATACATTTCTAATAAGTAATTCTTTCCACTATAGTTGTCCATATCCAAAAGGCTGGACTTCTGGAGATGCAGCCATTTATATG